GTCTTGAAGAAATAGATCGCGTAAAGGATCCGAAGTACTGCCACTATCATTGGATAGTTAGTCATCCTACTAAAAAATGGTTCGTGTTAAAGGAATTGCTCGTGGACTTGGCCAAGAAGAACAAAATCATTTTGGACCTTAACGAATCGGCAAAATCCAACCATGCGACGGTTATTATAGAACCTCCATCCTCAAAATCCAAGATAGAAATGTTACAGTCTGTAATCCCAACAGTGAAAGCAATTCCCAAAGTCATCCAGTTTGGTTCACTTGAACCTATCATTATTCAAGTTCCAAATCAAGACAAGTATGTCCATGATAGTTTTGAAGAAGTCTTAACTATTGGAGAAGATGAAAGTTGGACTCTTGTGACACGAAGAAGTAAGTCTAAGACTCAACATTTTTCACTCAAGAAGGTAGAAGAAAAGAAGAACTCCAATCGACATTCCAAGAAGAAGGTGATGGACAAAAGGAAGAATAAAAATACGATGCAACAAGTAGATAAATTTCTTGAAGAAAACTCGCCTACCCCAATCATTTGCCCATTGGGTATTTTGGAGATGACTTGGTCGAGGCAGCTTACATGGTTTCAACCATTGAAGCAGATGTGGAACAAGTTCGCACCATTAAGGCAACTCAAGACAATGAGGAAATTGATATCCTGACAACCTTGAAAGAATTACCCCCAAGCTTCAGTTTGCGTGAAACGTCTCAAGTCCCTAGATCTGTACAACTTGCACTTGTTTGAGTGTTAGAAGATCCTGGAAAATATGAGTCTGTTGTTAATGAGCTAGATTATCCCAAGGTGAACTCCATCACTTCTGTTCCTTGTTGCACAACAATCACCATCACTGATGAAGACCTTCAACTAGGTTCAAGACCACACGATCGCCCATTGTTTGTCTATGGCTTTATTAGTGAATAAAAAGTTAACCGCATCCTTGTTGATGGAGGCTCAGCAGTCATGCCAAAGTTCACCATGAAGAAACTTGGAATCCCAGTGGATGAGTTAGCCCAAAGTGGTTTGGTTATTCAAGGTTTCAACCAAGGGGGGCAACGTGCGATTGGTATGATTCGTTTGAACCTCACCATTGGAGAACTCATAACCAGTACTTTGTTTCATGTCATCGATGCAAGAACGTCCTATAATTTGTTGCTTGGGCGACCTTGGGTCCATGGAAATGGTGTAGTTGTGTCAACTCTCCATCAATGTTTTAAATTTGACCAAGGTGAAATAAAGATGATGCTAGCAGATAATAAGAAATTAATAGAAATTGAGTCTCACTTCGCTGATGCAAAATTTTATTTGGATTCCAATGGGATACCTGAAGTTATTCCAGCTGAAATCCTTTCTGCAAGGAAAGAGAAAATGAATAAAGAATATCAAGTTTTGTTGGACTTCTCAAGGAAAGATGTATCAAGCGGCAAAAAAGCACCTGAGGTCGCGTCACCACAAAAATAGACTTCATCCTCAAAAGGCCATGCACTGACAAAAGTCTTCAAGTATGTGCCGAAGTCTCAATGGAAAGAAGGGCAGTCGCCGTTTGAAGAAGTCACGACGGCCGCAAAAGTTAAAGGAGACTTTGCTCACCCAACAATAAAAGAAGATCTATAGATACTAAGAGCAGATGCAACAATTCCAATTCCACATGTGGGATTGTCAAGCCTAATTAAACCTCCACTAAAGGGATTTGTTAGGGCCGTGTAAAATTATATCGAACATGGCTCCTTACCTGAAAGACGAATGTAAGAATTTAAACCACAAGCTTAAAAGCTTCTAGCCAATTTAGGTTATAACTTTGCTAATCCCTCATCACTGGGAGAGTTAAGTCCTAAACTTACAGGTGAAAAAGTTCACGGTCTCAATGAAACTCAAAAAAAGTTAAGGTAACAAGGGCACAGGGTGAGCCCCTCAAAGACTGGAGTCGGATTCATGCCAACTGAACCCATTTGTATCTCTACCAAAAGAAAAGGGAAGAAGGAAAACGTAAAACATATCACTATGGAAAAAGTGAAGGAAGACAAAAGTCCAAGCCCAACTCCTCGAGTCTTAGTGTTTGACCGCATTGAAGCTACTGCACCTCGAACCTCAATTTTTAAGAGGTTGAGCACTGTTGATAAGACAAATGAAGGTACAACTTCTCAACCTTTAGTTTTTATTAGAATAGGCACTACTAAGGAAGGGGATGTAAAACAAACTTCCTGGTCACGAAAGTCCATTTTTGCTCGACTTGGCGATATGAATACATCACCTAGAAAAGGCAAGAATAAGAGAAGCACAACAACAATTGAGTTGAATTCTACAAAGGAGGATGATGAGACTCAAAGTTTGATTCGTTCTCTCATAAAATGCATGACGTCACTTGAAGTTAGTGTTGAAGGTCCGTTTAAGGTCAAAAGACACACTATCATACTAACTGGAGAAATTAAGACTCAAGCGGAAAGTAAAAAGAGAAGAAGAAATTGAACATGTTGCTTCTTACCATGTAACAGTTGAATTCTAACTCAGATTCGGAGGATGATAATCTCTAAGAAGCCCCTCTAGAACTTAAAGATGGAGGGCAATCAACTGTTGACAATTTGAGAGAACTCAACTTGGGAACTCTTGATAACGCTCGACCAATCTTTGTGGGAACGCTCTTAATGCCTGAGGAAGAAAATACATTTTTTGAACTGCTCCTCAAATATAAAGATGTCTTCATATAAACGTACAAGGAGATGCCAGGTTTGAGTCCAAAAGTTGTTGTCCATCACCTTCGGATCAAACATGGTATGCGACCAGTAAAGTAGGCTCATCGATACATCAGACCTGAGCACATCCTTAAAGTGGAAAAAGAAGTCAACAAGTTGATCGAAGCTGGGTTCATACGTGAAGTAAAATATCTAACATGGATATCAAGTATGGTCCCAATAGTCAAGAAGAATAGACAGATTAAAATATGTGTCGACTTCAAAATTTGAACAAAGCATGTCCCAAGGATGACTTTTCGCTTCCTATTATGGAATTAATGATAAATGCCACTACCGAACACGAGGTGTTGTCCTTCATGGATGGGTGTTTAGGACACAACCAAATACGGATGGCACTTGAGGATAAAGAGTTAACTACATTTCATACCACAAAAAGCATCTATTGTTATAAAGTGATGCCTTTCGGACTAAAGAATGCCGATGCCACCTATCAACGTGCCATGCAAAAGATCTTCGATGACATACTCCATAAATTTGTTGAGTGCTATGTTGATGATTTGGTGGTCAAAACTAAGAAAAGGGAAAATCACCTAGATGACCTTCGTGCAGTCTTCAATCGGCTGAGAAAGTATGACTTGAAGATGAATCCACTCAAATGCGCATTTGGAGTCACGTCTGAAAAGTTCCTCGGCTTTATTATTCGACATAGAGGCATTGAAGTTGATCAGTCTAAAATTGATGTCATACAAAAGATGCCACCACCAAAAAACCTGAAGGAACTTAGAAGCCTCCAAGGTCATTTGGCATATATCCGCAGATTCATTGCAACCTTGGCAGGCCATTGTCAACCTTTCAGTCGACTAATAAAAATGGAGGCTCCATTTGTTTGGGATCAGGCATGTCAAAATGCTTTTGACAGTATTAAGAGATATTTGCTTCATCTACCAGTATTAGGAGCTCTTATTCAAGGGAAACCATTGATATTTTACATTGCTACTCAAGAAGAGTCTCTTGGAGCGATGCTAGCCCAAAATAACAAAGAAAATAAAGAGCGAGCACTCTGTTACTTGAGTCACAGATTTATTGAAAATGAACTCAAGTGCTCACCCATTGAGAAAATGTGTTTTGCGCTTGTTTTTGCCTCTAAAAAATTAAGACATTATTTCCAAGCACATACAGTGCATCTCATTGCAAGAGCTAACCTAATAAAGTATGTTATGTCTAAGCCCATCCTCTCACGATGCTTAGCAAGATGATCTCTCATCTTTAATGAATTTGAGATAATTTACGTACCAAGAAAGCGATGAAAGGGCAGGCCCTTGCAGACTTCTTGGCCGACCATCCCATCCCTGTTGATTAGGAAATTTCTGAGGATTTCCCCGATGAAGATGTATTGTTCATAGAAGTCTTACAACCTTGGATGATGTTCTTTGATAGGGCTGCGAGGAAGGAAGGGGCATGAGCAGGTGTCATTTTGCCTTACTCATTTATTCTTGGCAAACATTGCTCAAACAATTTTACTAAGTACCAGGCCTTAATCATTGGTTTACAAATGGAAGCAGAGCTAAAAATTGTTGACCTAGATGTCTATGGGGATTCTAAATTAATAATTAATCAGCTCCGGGGGGATTCGGAAGTCAAGAAAGACAACTTAGTCCCATATTTCCAGTATGCAACTCATCTCATTGAAAAATTAGAGGGGGTGCTACTCGAACATGTTCCAAGGAAAGAAAATCGCATGGCTAATGCACTTGCCAATTTAGCAACTACACTGGCATTGTTAGAAGGTGAACAAGTTAGTGTCCTTGTATGTCAACGATGTGTATTGTCATAATTGTTGGAATGTTACCTTGTAGCAACAAACATAATTTCAGTACTAGCCATCGAAGTTGACGATTGGAGAATGCCAATTATAGACTACCTTGAACACAGAAGCTCCCTGATGATTCTCGCCATAGAACTGAAATAAGATATCAAGATCCTCGATTCATCTACTATAAGGGAACTTTATTCCGACGATCATTTGAAGGAATTTTTCTTCGTTGCCTAAGGGATGACGAAGCTCAACAAGCCATGGAAGAAGCCCATTCTGGGATATGTAAAGCGCATCAGTCTGGTCCTAAACTTCACTTCGAGTAAAAAGGATGGGTTACTATTGGCCTACGATGGATAAAGATTGCTTGGACTACTCAAGAAAGTGTCAACCTTGCCAGTTTCATGCAAACTTTATCCATCAACCACCAGAACCTTTACATTCGACAATTGCTTCTTAGCCATTTGATGCATGGGGTCTAGATGTAGTTGGCCCAATGACCAAGCCTTCTGCAGGCCACTTATACATCTTGGCCACCACAGATTACTTCTCCAAGTGGGTTGAAGCCGTCCTACTTAAAGAATTCAAGAAAGAAACTGTTGTTGACTTCATCAAATCTTACATTATTTATCAGTATGTGTACTTCGCTACATCATCACCAATAACGGAAAGCCTTTCTATAACAGTCTAATGGACAAACTTTGTGAAAAATTTAGATTTAAGCAACACAATTCCTCAATGTACAGTGCACTTCCCAACGAACTGGCAGAGGCATTTAACAAAACTTTGGGCAACCTATTGAAAAATGTAGTTACTAAATCAAAGTGGGATTGGCATGAAAGAATTGGAGAAGCACTCTGGGCATACCGTACGACACATCATACCCCAATACAAGCCACCCCATAATCCCTTGTGTATGGTGTTGAAGCGGTTCTTCCTTTAGAATAACAGATTCCCTCATTAAAGATAGCTATACAGAAAAGTCTCACTGATGATGAGAATGCAAAATTACGCCTTGCTGAGTTAGAAGCATTGGATGAGAAGAGATTGGAAGCACAACAAAAACTTGAGTGTTACCAAGCTCATCTCTCCAAAGCCTTCAATAAGAAGGTTAGACCCCGGTCTTTTCAAGTTGGAGAAATGGTATTGGTTGTTCGAAGACCTATCATCATTACCCATTGAACGAGCAACAAGTTCTTGTCCAAGTGGGATGGTCCATACATGGTAACTGAAGTTTACACTAATGGAGCATACAAGATTGTTGATAAAAAAGGTACAGGAGTTGGCCCAATCAATGACAAATTCCTAAAACGCTACTATTCGTGAGAATGTAACGCTCCTAATCGCATGAGCATAAACTGCATGATGCTCTTGGCCCTTATAAATAAATTAAAAAAGAAGAAGAAGAAATTGTACTATTCTTGGTCCGCATGAGTATAAACTATGAACGGCTAATAAATCAATAAACCAAATCTGTTTTACAATAAGAGTGCTTTGCTTCGAACTATAATATTTATTTCATAAATAAAGTGTTTGCTAGAGCAATTATTTTATAATGAAGTATTCGGTTTCGAGCTACATTTCATGAAAAGAAAAATGAAAAAAAAATAATAATAAATAAATCATGGCAACCATGATAAACTCTAGATCTCGCCTTGTTCAACGTTCAAGAGCTGCTCCAACTTATTGGCGACTTTGATATCCTCACTTCTTATCACCTCAGTTGTTTCTATTGTAGCTTGTTCATCCCTTAGAATGGAAACAATGGCTCGCCTTTGAACTACTTCAGCTTCAGCAACACTAATTGTAGTCTCTAGTTGTTGTGATTGTTCATCTAAATGTTCCAATGCCTTTAACAATTTTGTCTTCTTTGCTGCAAGGCTACCCAAATCAAACTTCAGCAAGTGAACCTACCCAATTCCTTCATTCTCAAGAGCTAAAGCATGATTGACACGCTAACTAACATCCGCCAAACGCTGATCCTGTAGCTCTAAAGTCATCGCTTGAGCAAACGCTGATTTCATAGAGATGTACGTAGTAGCATTTTGTACGTACTTCTTAATTTGGCTTTGCAACAGAAAATAATCTATCTGAAGCTTTGAGAGCTCATTATAAAGCTCTTGGAGCTTTGGGCCCAATGTTGAAACTTTTTGAATAGGAGTTTTGCTCAATAAGCCTTTAATATGGTTATCAAGTATTGAAGCTGCTGAGCGACGAGCATTAAGGATCATGCTTCTTGTATCAATGGTAGAAGCCACAGAAGGTGCAACTTGACTCAATGTAGGAGCAATAGGTAAGGAAGAAGTTTGGACAATTGGAGCTGGGTCAACTGAGAGACAACTCTTACGACCAATCACTAAATCAAAGGCTGATGGGCTATGCATTGATTCTTCATTACCTGAGAACTCATCAAGAAGTCTCATGTCCTCATTACCAAGCACCAAATCAAAGTCATCATTTGGCAACTATCAAAATGAGTTGAAGATCAGTCATAAAAAAAAATTAAAAAGAAAAAAAAATGCACAATAAATTGAAATGGCAAATATAAATTTTATCATTACCGGTACAACACTGGAAGCCATTGGTTAAGAAGTGCTAGGAACGCAGATCAAAAATGACTCCACATCATTAAAAGTAGTGGTGTTCCTTCCAACGGTGCCAGTACCAGATTTCCTCCCTAAGTGACACCAATTACGATCACCGTGACTATGGTCCACGTCTACTACTCCACCAAGAGTCCCATCAACACTTCCTCGAACCATTTCGTTGGTCTTCGGATTAGAATTTTTCTTAGCAAATGTACTTTTCTTCACTTTTACCATCTCTTGATTTGGTGATACCGAGCGTTTGCTCCTTAGAATAGAATTTTCTTTGTTGAAGAAATAGTTTGCATAAAGCTGGGACCACCATTCTAAATAAGCCTTGGTAGTGGAACAAGACGGGAAATCAAAATGCACTGGTAACCTCAATACAGAATGGGTGCCATCACGAACACAAGAATCCCAATACTGAATAATGTTTTATAAACTACCATCTTGAAGATCAACCTTAAGTTTAAGTTTACCCGGGATAGCTTGAATAAAACCAAATTGCCTGCTAAACCTGTGAGGACTGTATGGGTCAATGACCATAGCGGACGAACTTCGCAAAGTCAAATAGCTCGAGCGGACGCTGATGAAATACTCTAAGTCTGAGTTAGAATGATAACCGTCTTCAACCAATTCCTTGGGATTGCCCTCGCTATACACCAAACGGTGCAAGGTCATATCTTTGTATGATCGAAATAAGTCATAGTTCTCTGACTTCTCAAAATGTTTAGCCATCCTTTCACCAGCATATCTCATCATTCGAGGCTTCAGAGAAGATTCAATACTAAAGTGTGTGTTGAAATACTTTGCTAACCAAGCATAAATATGATGGATTGGGAACATGGCGTCGCACTTTTCAGGATTAGAAGAAAAAACAATTCTATTCAGCCCTTTGTAAATGCTAGCAAGTACAAGAATAGCAAGGCTAAATGACCGACCACGAGCCATCATACTAGTAACCTTAAACACCCCAGGTCTAATCAAGCCGCCATCCCCACGAGGTAGAACAAATTTGCAAGACCAATAAACAAGGAAAGCTTATAGATAAGTCTACCCCTTTGCTGCACTAACAATCCCCAAGTCATCGAAGACTTTCTCCCCTTGCACAGTTCGAGACTGAGTTGTGTTAATAATACTAGAAGGGTTGCTAGTATCCTTAGGGCGTTGAGTCTTGTTCCTCGAAGCCCGCTTGGTTGATTTATGGTACTTGACTTCCTCTTTAAACCAAAATTTCATCCAGCTAGTAATCCTCACCGCATTCTTCTTCGACTCCTTACAAAGTCGATGGTAAACAAGGAATAAATATCCGCAACTAATAGGAAGAAAGAAATTCTTGTCCCTCATATTGCTGGCCAACTCTTGGGCATTTGGCACTACTTCATCGTATATTGCACCCTTAATAGAAAGTCCACCAAGCTGACACAAATCCCATAACGAGATAGACATTTTGCCTATAAAAGTCTGAAGGGTATTAGTAGACGGACACCAAAGCTCACAAAAGGCCTACATAACACTATGTAGTAGGTTATACGAGAACAATGAGGCATAAGTTGCATCGTAAATGCCAGCCTGTTGTAGTACCTCACGATGTTGCTCCAGTGCATCCTCCAACCACTCCCAATATCCTTCACAAAAAGAAGGTTCTGCTATGGCCTTGAAAATAGTGCCATATGCCACATTCTGAGCTCGAACCGCACTCCCAGGGCTAGGAAATGAGCTAAGATCCTCAATTTCTTCATGGTTAGATGACTTTAGTTATAAAACCCTAGAGTGTGACAAACCTTTAACCAATTGACATGAAGTCTCACAAGCCCAGTGCGCCAAATGAAAAGAACCATCAAATGACTTAAACTTCAAACCCTAAGCACCAAGCAAAGGAAGACGAATTGGAAGAGTAATCCCCTCCTCAATAGTGTCACTAGAGTCCTCAAGAATGGTTACGTATCCCTTCTTGAAAGTCTTGAAGTACACCATCACTGAGTGACAAAGCCAAACAATTAATAAAAATAAAAACATGTGTTGTGGAGAGACATATATGATATATGATCATGACATGAGTCAAAATAATCACCTATGGTCGAATGAGTGGTGGTGGAAGTGTCTACTTCACTAGCCCAATGTACAGGCGGTTAGCTCGATAAACACATTCCCCCACATGAGTCAAACTAATCACCTATGGTCAAATGGGTGGTGGTGGAAGTGTCTACTTCACTAGCCCAATGTACAAGCGGCTAGCTCGATAGGCACAGTGTCTACTTCACTAGCCCAATGTACAAGCGGCTAGCTCGATAGGCACATTCCCTCACATGAGTCAAACTAATCACCTATGGTCAAATGAATGGTAGTGGAAGTGTCTAATTTATTAGCCCAATATCCAAGCAACTGGTTCGAAAGACGCATTCCCCCACATAAGTCAAGCTAATCACCTATAGTCAAATGGGTAGTGGTGGAAATGTATACTTTATTAGCCCAATATCCAAGTGGCTAGTTTAATAGACGCATTCTCCCACATAAGTCAAACTAATCACCTACGGTCAAATGGGTGGTGGTAGAAATGTCTACTTCATTAGCCCAATATCCAAGTGGCTAGTTCGATAGATGCATTCTCCTACATAAGTCATACTAATCGCCTATGATCAAATGGGTGGTGGTGAAAGTGTTTACTTCACTAGCCCAATGTCCAAACAGCTAGCTCGATAGGCGCATCCCCCACATAAGTCAAACTAATCACCTGTGGCCAAATGAGTGGTGGTGGAAATGTCTACTTCATTAGCCCAATATCCAAGTGGCTAGTTCAATAGACGCATTCACCCACATAATTCAAACCAATCGCTTACAATCGAATGGGTGGTGGTGGTGGTGGTGGTGGTGGTGGAAGTGTCTACTTCACTAGCCCAATGTCCAAGCAGCTAGCTCGATTGGCGTAACCCCCACATAAGTCAAAATAACCAATTATGGTGAAAGGGTAGTGGGATATATTACTCAATTATTTTTGTAAAATCATTATTCTTGTGGGCAATAATAAAATACAATTTCCCAAAAAAAAAATAAAAAAAAATAAATAATCGTTCAGTGCACAGATTGATGATGTAATCAAACAAGTAAAGAAAAGTATTCATGGAATTTATGGTGATATCACACCAAGATGACATCATGCACACTTATATATATATATATATATATAGAAAAGTTTGCACAAGGCACAAAAAAAGCACCATGACCAAAAAAAAAAAGAAAAGAAACAGGCCAAGGCACTATGACATATATATATATAAGCCGAGTTTAGATCCTCTCCAGCCAAATCCTCTAGCCCTTCCTCAGGTCAAGGACCAAGATTTGGCCATGTCCCTTAAGAGAAGATCTACGGCTCAGATGCTTAAAGCTCAGATGCTAAAAAAAAAAAAATTGAATTTATTTCATTCAACACAGTAACAACTTCCCTCCCATTCACTTCACTTTTTCCCTCCTTCTTTGAAGCTCTTTTTCTCTCCCTCTTCGAAGCTCTGGTGAATGAAGATCGGTGAAGTTGGCGGCGAACATTGACGATGATCGGCGGCAAATCGAAGTCGGCGGAAAACATGGACGGTCTCTCCCTCTCTCCCGCTATCTTACTCCGAAGGTTTGAACTGCGATTTTAGCCACTGGTCTCTCCCTCTGTCTTATTCCGAACATTTAAGCCGCGAGTTTAGCCGCGAACCAAGCTCCGGTGACCCTGTTAACTAGAGCTGCACTTCATCA